GTCGGGAGCAACGAGGGGCAGAGACAGCCAAAGCCATAAGGAAACAGCCCAAAGGACTAACGGACCACGGGACCCCAGCTTCCGTGACCCTGCGACCAGAAGAACTAGCTGTTGCCTGGCCCCCACTGCCAGCCGCTCTGACAGGGATCACAGTAGGAGGTCCTGGACGGAGTGGGACAGAATGTAGGACAGAGTTCAGAATCACAAGGAACAAGCTGATTAGTCTTCTGGAGACTGGTGGGGTCCCTCAGACTGTGGTCGTTAGTCACACTTGAGGCCTGGGCCTGAACTCACCCCTGTGGCTCACCTCTCAGCCAACAGCAGGTGGGACTATGAGGTGGACAAAGAATGTGGCCGGGACGTTGCCTGGAAGAGAAGGGCCCATTCTCTGGAGAAGGATGTCATGCTTGGTAAGGTGGAGGGTCAGTGAAAAAGGGGCAGGCCCCCAACGAGATGGACTGACACGGTGGCTGCAGCGATGGGCTCGGGTATAGCAGGGACTGCAGAGCTGGCTCAGGCCTGGGCGGTGTTCCGTTCTGTTGTACGTGGGGTCGCTGTGAATCAGAATCGAGTCAGCGGTACCTAACAACAACATGAGTGAACAGTAACCCCAGGGAGGCTGACACTCCCTGGGAGCATCAACCCCACAAGATCCAAAGGGCAGCATGGGCCCGGGGGGGAAAGTGCAGAAGCAGGAAGGGACAGGAGAGAAGGATGAAGGGAAATGGAGGAAGCGGGAGGAGAGCTGTTACGTTGCGGGGCTTGCGGTCAGTGTCACGAAACAAGATGGGTATGAGTTGTGGAATGAGAAACCAATTTGCTTCATAAACTTTCACCCAAATCGCGCTAAAAAGTTAGAAGAGCGAAGGCAGCTATTGAAAGCCCTGTGGGGCCCATCCCACGCTTGTGCACGTGGGTTCACGTCAGCTGCCTGGCTGCGCCGGTGGAGGGTTGAGCTGCTTGCTGTGCCCTGAGCTGGCCTGGAGTGCCCCTACCCCCAGGTGGGCCCTGCTCTGCTCCAGGCCTCAGTCCCCAGCTGAGAAGGCCCCACTGGGCCTCCCTGCCCGTCTCCTCATCACCCTCCTTGCCCAGGCCTCCCACCTGGCTCTGTTCTCCAGGCCGTCTTGCTGCATGGCCAAGATGGCGGGTCAAGTCCCAGCTTCCACGGAAGTGGTGTGTTCTAGGTAACTGTAGGCCAAAGTCACTGCCATCAAGTCGATCCGGACTCACAGCGACCCCCATTGGGTTTCCAAGGCAGTAAACCTTTGCAGAAGTAGACTGCCCCATCTTCCTTCCAAGGAGCGTCTGGTGGGTTTGAACCGCCAACCTTCTGATTACCAGTCAGAACCTTACCCACTGCGCCACCAGAGCTCCATTTCCAGCTAGACACGTGGAAACACCACAGAGCGGGGTGGGTCCCTGCTGATACATTTGTGCTTGAAAGAAGAAAGATAAGGCTGTTTGGGTTGTTTTTTTTTCTGGCATTGGAACGAGGGCTGGCTTCATCCATAAGGTGGATGCTGGAATGTGGGGGGCCTGCTCACCCTGTCTGTTTGCCGTCCCCAGATCTGTACTGCACTCTGGAGGTGGACTCGTTTGGGTACTTTGTGAACAAAGCAAAGACCCGTGTCTACAGGGACACGGCTGAGCCAAACTGGAACGAGGTGAGCAGCTGGCGGCCTGGTGGGTGTTTCTTGGACGAGTCTAGGCTCCTGACTCCATACCGGCTTCTCCTGTTCTGGGAATCTCCTCTGGGGGTGGGGGTGACTCAGCCACGAGAGGATGTCTCCGGTTCCTGAGAACCCACCCTGCCCCCACATGTGGGGCCTGTCCTGTCAGGGCTGGCTCCTGCCCACAAAGTGGGTTTTCTGAGGAAGGGTGTATGTGGAAAGCTGTCCAGAGGGTGTTTACAGGCCTTTGTTGTGGCCAGGTGTTTACATGGTAGCTTTCCACAGCGCTTTTCCTCAGAAGTGGCGTGGTTTCCTCAAACGTGCCCATCTTCTCAAGAAGCCTCATGGCTCTGGACTGCAGGCCAGGGTAGGGACAGCAGGCTGGGCCGGGGCTGGTCTGCAGTGTCCTGTCTGTCCGCCCTGGGTGCTGGATATGTGAATCTGGGGCCCTTTGAGAGCTACCGTGTGACCCTCTACACTGTCTCGTTGGGTGCTTCCAGGAGGAGGGGAGTCATTGCAGAGTGACCAGTTTAGATTTAAGTCCCCAAAGCCGTGAGCGACACCGTCTCCCGGCTGTGGAGCAACTACAGCTGGAGGGCCCGGGGCCTGGCAGTGTGGTATTTGTAGCCCCCGGGCTTTGGAGCTGCCGCCCTGCAGAGGACGCCACCGTGCCCACGGGCCCTGCTCCAGGACCTACCTCAGCCACCCCCCGCCCTTGGCACCTTTTCTCTGGTCACCAGACCTCGCAGCCTGCACGGGGCTGTGGGCACAGGCGGCCCACAGGCTTGGGCTGTCAGCTGCTGTCAGGTCAGCCCTGCCTCCCGACAACCTTTGTACCGCAGCACCACACACTGCCCGGCCCAGCCTCGTCCTCACCGTCGCCAGCACGTCTGCGTCATCATGAGAGCCGTCGGCCAGTCCGTCCCAGTGAGGGCCTCCCCCTTTCCTGACCCCTCCTCCACCCAGCGTGATGTCCTGCAGTGTGCGGTTGCTCCTGGTGACATGACCAAAGTGAGCAGGGCGGGCCTGTCCTGTGATCCTGAGGTTTCCTTGGGCTCGTGTTCTGAAGATTTCCAGGCCTTTCTTTCTGGTCTTACGTTAGACCTGTCCACCTTGCGTGACTCTGCTGGTGTTGGAAACCCCAGTCATCATAGCCCTGGAGGTCCCTGCAGAAAGCGCCCAGTGGACATGGGGGGGAGGAGTGGTCAGAGCAGAGAGCGGGAGGCCCTCACCCCTCAGAGGCAGCAGGTGGGGTTGTGGGGGAGGCTGTCGAGGCACACCACAAGGGCTTCAGGTTGAGTCCACGGAGGGGGCGTGAGGAACGGGGGTACAGAGGGGTGAGTAGCTCCAGGTGGCCTGCGACCGGCCTTGCTAGTCACACCAGTTATTCGGGGTAGACCTACCTGTTACTGATACACACCGCCTCCCACCCTATCCAAGTGCCCATCTGTGTCTTCTGCAAGTACCGCTGAGGTTCCAAAGCAGGTTGTGGGGCCCCCCTTTGGGGTGCTGGGCTGAAGAGCTTAGACTGAGTTTGAGAGGCACTCAAAGCTTCTGGAATGCTCTTTGGGAGCGAGAATGGCCAGACTTCGTCTTACCTCCTTTGGTCATGCTGTCAGAAGGGACCATTCCGTGGAGAAGGATGTCCTGCTTGGAAAGGTGGAGGGTCAACGAAAAAGGGGAAGGCCCTCAATGAGATGGGTTGACACAGTGGCTGCAGTGATGGGCTCAGGTCTAGCAAGGACTGTGAGGCTGCCTCAGGACTGGGCAGTGCTTCACTCTGTGGTACACAGGGGGAGTCAGACATGATGCGATGGCACCTGAGAACAGAGCTTTAGGAGGCACTTGGGCAGAGCCATCACGTCGCCACGGTGACGGTGCTCAGAGAAGTAGTGTGTGATCTTTGTCCTTCTGGGGCAGCGGCAACATCGGTCACAGAGACGCCATCTCTTGCTGCCTGCCACATCCAGTCCTGTCTGTTAACTCGGCCTTTTCCTTCCCTGCTGGGGCTGCAGGAGTTTGAGATCGAGCTGGAGGGTTCCCAGACCCTGAGGATCCTTTGCTACGAGAAATGTTACAACAAAGCGAAGACCCCCAAAGACAACAGTGAGAACGCTGACCGGATGGTGGGCAAGGGCCAGGTCCAGGTGAGCCTGTCACGCCTGCCCCTGCCAGGACACAGCTTTGCACCCTACACCCCACATCCCCCCCACCCTGGACGCCTGTGGTCTTCCCCATTTGACACTTAAGGACTCTCTGTCATTGGAGGGGGGACTTGCAAAGAAGGGTGCTGTAGCTGTGGGACACCTGAACTGAGCTGGGGCCTTGCCGGTCTGCCTGCCTGTCTGTCTGTCATGCCTGCCCATCTTTTCTCCAAAGGAGTTTCTGTTTGAGCTTGTCTTTCTAGCTGAGCCCCCAGGAGAACTGATTGGTGGTGCTGTGGGCTGAGAGCAGCCGTTATGAGGCCACCCCTTCCTGGAAACATACGAGGAGCCGAGAGTCTCCCCATCCAGGTCCCCAGATTCCTGGGGGCACCCCTTACTCTGGGTGACACAGGTGTTGTCCAGAACTAGTCCACAAGGCCCCCAGTGGACCAGCAGCCACTGTCTGTACCCTGGGAAGGTTCCCTGGGTCCTTAGGGACAACCTCAGGCCTTCTGTCCTGGGGGACCTTGCAGCGTCTCTCTGGCCCCTGAAGTCCCACCAGGTGCCTGAGTGGTACAGGCGATATGCACTTAGCCGCTAGCCCAAAGATTGGTGGTTCGAATCCATCCGGAGGCACCACTAAAGACAGAGCTAGCAGTCGGCTTCCATGAAAATGGCGGCCAGGAAGACCCGACGGAGTGTAGCCTTTGTGGGGTGTGGGGCGGCCGCTAGGCGGAGCTGACATGGCCGCAGCGGGTTGGCTTGGCCGTTTTCCGAGTCTCGCATCCAGCATTGCGTATTCCTTGGCTGACAGGAGCTGGCCGTACCTGCTGTTTCTGTCGTCCTACCCACAGGGACGTGGCCCCATCTCTTAGCAGACCCAGCTAAGGGAATCTCCCACGCCCACCCTGGAGGTGGGTCCAGGCTTGGTCACAGCGCCCCACCTGGAGGATACCTCAGGAGACGCTGGGTGGCCATTCCAGGTACCTGGGGGAGGTCAGGGCTTGCCAGCCAGCCCCCACTCCCCTCGCTAAGGACAGGAAACAAAATTCCTCCCATGCCGCCATTGGGCGCAGCAAGAATGATGAACGGGGCGGGGGCTTGGTCCTCAGCAGTGAGTCCACTCTGCAGGTGAGACCCCAGTCTCCCCTCTCAGGCTCAGATCTTTACCAAGCTCCAGTTCCAGATTCCACTCTGCCCGTTTCTCCACCGTGGAAACCTCATTGGGGACCCAAACTGCTCAGGGCCTGCTGGACACCCTGCACTCGGAGACCAGGCCTAGAAGCAAAAATAGTCTCTGGTTGGCCTGTGGTGCCAAGTGGGTGGCTCGGTGATTTGTTCTTGGTGACTAACTGAGAGTCTGGCGGTTGGAACCCACCCAGCAGTACGGCGGGAGGAAGTCCTGGCGGTCTGCTTCCATACAGGTGGTGGTGGTCAGGTGCAGTCGAGTCAGCTCCGACTCACGGCGACCCCGTGTGCAGCAGGGGGCCTGCCGCAGCCTCACGATCCTGCTGCACCTGAGCCCATCGCTGCGCCACCGTGTCAGTCCGTCTCGTTGAGGGCCTTCCCCTTTTTCGGTGACCTCTATTTTACCAAGCATGACACCCTTCTCTGGGGACTGGTCCCTCCTGACAAGGTGACTAGAGTGCATGAGATGAAGTCCTGCCATCTTTGCTTCTGAGAAGCATTCCGGCTGCACTTCCCCCTGCGTGGTTGGTGGTGCTCCTGGATGTCCACAGTGGAGTCAGCGTCCTCTGCCAGCATCTGAACTGTGGTCCGTGAACGTTACAGCCATGAAAGCCCCACAGAGCAGTTCTCGGCAACGCATGGGGTCGCCGTGGATCGAAACTGAGCAGTGGTTCCATTTTAGGTTTGGATCATCCTGTCCCTGCCTTCCGCCAACCGCCCCAGACCCCGGAGAGGGTGTTCCCTGCCATGGAGACACAGGAGAGGAGGCTGGTGGGGGCAGAGCCCCAGCCCCTCTCCTTCCAGATAAGCCCCCTAGTCTTGGAGCTCTGAGCATCTGGGGCTAGCCCTACAAGCAGGACCTCCTGTGGCTGGGCACCCCCACATGCAGGGAACCCGTGGGGGGTGGGAGAAGAACGGGGGTGCCCCTCCAGCCGGCAGGCTCGAGCGTGCGTGTTGGGCTGTGCAGCAGCCTTGCCGCCCACCCCAGGTAGGGCAGCATGAGCACCCCCTCTCGGGTGGGGAGGCGTCCCCGAAGGCCCTGTCCAAGGCCATCAGCAGTGATCCAGATAAAAGTCACTGCCTGTAGCTTCAGTCTCCTGGTGAGCACTTGATCTGGTGAGAAGACCGTCAAGCTGTCGACCCTCCCTGCAGCTCCAAATTGTCAAGCCAGGGTCGCTAACAAATGCATGACTCACACACACAGGTGGTGGCTGGAACTCACTTTACTCACATAGAAAAGACGCAGAGCAAGTGCACGTCACTGTGGGCACGGGGCCTCCAGGGCCAGTGGGTCAGTCCCCACAGCAGGTGCCGCTGGTGCTCTTTTTTTTTTTTTTTTCTAATTTACTGTGATTTGGGTGAAAGTTTGACAGAGTAAATTCACTTTCCACGCAGCAGTTCACATACACTTTGTCTCATGACATTGACTGCAATTTACCCCAATGCAACAGCTCCCCTCCACTTCCTGCCCATAGTTACCTATCCCCTGTGTCCTTCCCTCCATGCACTGCTGCCCCCTGAGCTGTGTCCCTGTGCATAAGCAGCCCTTCTTTATCCCATGATTGTTCTCTCCAAAGAGTGTGTCTGCCTCATGTAAATGTTCAATTCATATGTCTGTCTTTTGTTTGGCTGGAAGCCACAGGAGTGCGTTCAATTCCAGACCTGAAGGGCAGCTAGGGGCCATAGGCTCAGTGGTTCCACCAGGCTCTATTAGACAGCAAACCTGGTCCTTCCCCCCACACCAATGATTTTGAGTTTTGTTCCACATTATTCTCCTGCTCTATCGAGGATCTCCTACACAGATCCCCCACCAAGTGGTTGACAGTGGTAGCTGGGCACTATCTAGTTCTTCTGGTCTCATGGTCGTATAGGCTGAGGATTGCATGGTGGACCAGTCCCTTGGACTCATTGTTTCCATGCATCTTTGGTTTTCTTCATTCTTCTTTGCTCTGGATGAGGAGAGACCCATCATTGCATCTAGATGGCTGCTTGCAAGCTTTTAAGATCCCAGTCGCTACTCGCCAAAGTAGGATGAGGAACAATGTTTTTGTGTAGTCTGTTATGCCAGTTGAGCTTAATGTCCCCTGCAACCGTGGTCCCAAGCCCACAAGTCCAACTACTCACTTCCTCAGGGTGGTTGGCTAAGGCCAAGAAATGATCCTAACTTTGCCCCCGTTGTTGTTAGGTGCCATCAAGGTGGCTCAACTCATAGTGACCCTGTGTACAACGAATGAAATACTGCCGGGTCCTGCCCTGTTAGTTCTATTTATATGGATGTTCTTTCTTTTTTCTTTCTTTCTTTCTTTAAATTTTTATTGTGATTTGGGTGAAAGTTTACAGAGCAAATTCACTTTCTGTACGGACATTCTTACAGCATCTACAAATTCATACGTAGAACTATCAGCTACCATCCTCATATATGGTCGTGAGTATGTTCCCTTCGGCTGGACATCCCTGATCATTCAGGCTGGCTGCCATTCTGCACACTGCCCTCTCGTGCTGCACATCGGGGACTATGTTCCTTCCCCACCAGGAACGGGTGTATGTGTGGGGCTGGGCCAGTGCATGTGACACATGTGCAGAAAGGAGAAATTACGGCGGACGTGGCAGAGAGAGGGGGAGAAGAAACGGAGTGAGCAAGACCAAGCCTCTGGTTGGGCAGTGCAGGGTGGGAGGCTGCCGTTTTTCTAACAAAGAGAAATGCTTCCGTCCAGTTCTCACCAGCCCGTCACATCCCCTAGCCAGTTGTGGGATCTTTCTGGAGCAGGAATGGGCTTGAAGCAGCAGAAACTCAGACCTGAATTTGTCCAGGAATCTCTCCCCTTCTCATGATCTTGGGCAGGGAGGGGCCTGTCACCACCAGGGGTGTTCCCTCCACCGGGTTGCCTGCGGTGAGCATAGGCTGCGTCTGTGTTCCCAGACGGCTGTGTGCCCGGGCAGAGATGGTGGTTTTGGTCAGGATATTGACCGTACACGGATGCTACACTCACTGCCCACAGCCTACGCTGGCTGGCGTCTTCAGTGCCCCTGAGAGCCACCCATGCATACACGTGACCTGGTCCCGGTCTGGCCTTAACGGACGCTTCTGTGATGCGCATCACCAAGGCCGCTCCGCTCTGACAGACCCTGAGGCTGACTCCACACTTGTGCGAGTCAGTGGTCATCTCCTCCTGCTCTTTTGAGACCCAGTGTCCTTTAGCATCTGCCGAGGGGCAGCTGTAGTGCCAGTGCCTTCATCTTCAAGGCAGCTGGTGCCACCGCCACATTTGGCGTGAAGGAGGTGCTTAGGGAACGGGCTTGCGGCCCCCTGGGGATCCGCGAAGCTGGCTCAGCCTCCGGGTGCTGCTGTCACAGAAACACCACAAGTGGTGACTTCCACAAACGGGTGTAGCTTCTCATATTTTAGGAGGCTGTCATTAGGTGCCATTGAGTCAATTCCTACTCATAGCAACCCTAGGGGACAGAGTAGAACTGCCCCACAGGGTCTCCAGACTGTCAGTCTTCATGGAAGTGGACTGCCTCATCTTTCTCCCTTGAAGTGGCCCATGGGATTGAACCACGGACTGTAGGTCAGCACCTGAGTGCTTCAAGCACTGCACCACCAGTAGGAAGTCCAAATTCAGGGCTCTGGCTCTCAGGGAATCTCTCTCGGCCCCGAGAGTGCCTCTGGGCATCTGTGGCCTGGGTGGTCCTTGATTCCTGGGTGACGTCTAAGTGCCCTCTGTTTCCTCCTTTCTTTGTGCCCTCTTTGTGCTCTCTTCTGTGTCTGACCTGGTCGTTTCATAACTGATAAGTGATAAGGTTAGGAGGCAGCC